TTGGCACGTTGGTTTTGAATGCAGGCAAGGTGGACAGTGTTAGGAGACGTGCCTTATGTTCAATCTCCTCTCTTCATGGTTGCACTCCCATTGCCCTGTTCTTGCCTGACTATGGCTCTTTGTTTGCCTACAATAAATCCATTGTATGGCCCCGTGACTTGACTACACAGGGTTAATCTCATGAATCCTGCCAGTCCCAAAAAGGTGCATTCCTGTGACTGAGGGGCAGCTGTTAACTGCAGAACACAGGACTTGCTAGAACCCAGCAGAGCACTGCTCTGCATTGTCCCTAACCCTCACTGACTGTGACCAAGCTAGGGACTCCAAAGGAAGCACAAACACTCTCCTGGATTCAGGTTGCCTATCAATATTTCCTATCCCTGTCTTTGTAAAAAAAAAGAAAATAAAGAGAAGAACAGCCTCATTAAAGTTCTGAGAGCAAAATAGAGTTGATTTTGTTGCTTCTTCACACTTTTTTGTGCTGTTGAAAATATACTGGATTTACAAAGTTCCTGCAACGCAGGAACTACCAAGCATGGGTAGAGCTGAATGCATCTTTTATAGCACAGTTGTTACACCACCATACTATATATCAGGAAAAGCTCAACTTAGTGATCATCAGTTTATACCCTGAAACATAAAAGCATGTGGACTTTCATTATAACAATGAAATAGTTCTGCATGATTTGTTGTCACAGTCACACTTCTACAGACATAAACAAATAAGAATATACTGAAATAATTTAATCAGGTGTTGAAATATGAGAGCAAGTCCACAGCTTCTTGATTGGTAATTCTTGCAAATGAAAAGAGCAGTAGGTAAAGATTTAAAGGCTTATACTGAATCTCAAACAGTCATGCCTTGGTCTTAATTGGTATCTCTAACTTTTGTGTAATTTCCTCCTCAGTAATTAAATATAGCCTTTGACTGATGAACATATCTTGCTACTTCTAGAATATACTTTTCTGTTACAGCTATGATTATTTATCTTACATGTATCTTTTAAAATTTTGGAAATTGTCATCTTTATGATCAAGATAATGCAGTAAATGCATACAATAAGGGAAAATTACTATTTTTATGTGTTAAATACTCTATGCAAGGGTTAATCTGTTGGGGTTTTTCCAGCCAATATATTGCATATGCATGTATATATTTTTAATGCTTTCTCTACAGTTAAATTGAAATAAGTGATTAAATAATATTTTTCAGGATATATAAATAGCTGAACTATGCTGATTATCTTCCAGTGCTGTCCCTGAGCAATCAGAGGATATTCATGGGGATAGCTACACCCACTTCATCCTCCTGGATAATCCTCCAGAGGGAAGCAAGTAAACAGCTAGGAGCAAACAGCCCCAAGCTTTGATACCTGATGAACAATTCCAGCCAAGGTCATGTTTTAAACCAAATTTTGCCCTGTCTAGATTCAGACTCTTTAATTTCTGCAGCAAAGAGGTTAGTTACAAAATTTTACTCACTGACAGCAAATGTATTCTGTCACTGTGATTTCCACTGCTATGAGAGGAATAGAAGCTGTTTAAGCAATCACCTGCCTCCAGCAGCACGTCTGGAGCAGCTCTGAGCGCACATTTATACACGAGTCCCTGCCCTGCTGGCTGTGTCCTGTGCAGGGCAGCAGCAGTGCCCTGGCCACCTGCCAGCCCAGGCCCTGCTCCATGGCTCTTACCAGAACGTGCCCAGGCACAATTCAGTGAGGTGAGAAGCAGCACAGCACTGCAGCAAGCAGGGAAAGCAAGAGGTGGCCACTACTGAGCAGGAGATTCTAATCCACGATCAGGTAATCAAGCCCCACGGCACAAACAGGAGCCTGCTGATCCCTGGCTCAACAGCACTAAGAGCTGTAAGTTCAACCTAGCACATCCCAGTCAAATTTGTTGTTATCCCAAACCCCTCAGCCCCACACTGGGCACTAAACAGAGCTCCTGTGGTTTCACCCCCTGTGGCAGCCCCACACAGCTACTCACTCCCTCTCTCCCTCCCCAGCAGGACCAGGAAAGAATTAGAAGAGTAAACTAAAAAACTCATGAGTTAAGGACAGGTTGATAGGGAAAGCAAAAGCTGCGAAGATAAGCCAAAAAAGAGAAGACATTAATTCACCACTTCCCATGGGCGTTCATCCATCTCCAGGAGAGCAGGGCCCATCACATGTATCAGGGACTGGGAAGACAAACACCACCATTCCAAATGTTCCCCTCTTTCCACCTTCTTCCTCCCATGTACATACTGAGAATAATGTCACATGATTTGGATTATTCCATTTGTCAGTTTGGGTCAACTGTCCTGGCTGTGTCTCCTCCCAGCCTCCCATTCACCAACTTCCCTGCCAGAGTATGGAAATGGGAGTATGAAAAGCAGAGAAGACCTTGGCTCTGTGTAAGCCCTGCTCAGCAATAACAAAAACATCTCTGTGTTATCAACCCTGTATTCAAAACACAGCCCCACACCTGCCACTGTGAAGAAAGTTAACTATACCCCAGCCAAAACCAGCATAATCTGCCTTACTGTTACCAGTCTAGTTGTTTTGAGGTTTTTTTGTAGATTTTCACTGCTAAGAAATTAAATCCTTTCTGTATTCCCTTTCAGCTGGTAGGTTGTCTTTGTATTTTAAGTGATTTTAAAGAAAGTGTATGTCTCTGCACCTTAAAACTATTCTCTGTCTTTCATCTCCCAAAATTTAACAGTTATTATGGGAGGGAATTGGAAAATGGAAGCCTCAGCCTTTTTTTTAGAACTGTTCTGAATAGTTGGAGAAAATAGCTGAATAGCTGTAATCTTGGAAAGATGAAAAATTCATGAGGGAGTAATAACGTCTCAATTTTTACTTGATTAACATAATTCCCAAATCCTAAAAATGCCATCTTATCCTAATTAACTTGTTCTTTTAGAGAGGAACACTTGCTCTAAACCCCAAGGTGAGAAAGCCACCAGATAGATGTTTGGTGGCTTTTTTATTTTCTTTTTTTTTATTTTTTTCCTAAACCAGAGTCTCAGGAGTTATTGAAAAATACCTTTACATGATAAATCTTGAAGATGAAAATTATATTTTTAAAAATTACTTCTCTCCACGTATCTCGCTATAGTCAAATTTGATCTCAGAGCATAGGACAACCCCCAGAGAATTGAAGTCTGTCATTCAGATCTGGGATGTGGTTAAGAGCAGGAATCAGCATAACTGTAATGAATGGGAGAGAAACAGGAGTCTAGCCTGATGGATTGGAGATCTTGGGGGTGATTCCAACTGCCTGCTTCTCATCCCATGGTTTTTCACAATGATTGTAACATTCCTAGTACATGCAGTATGTGAAGATGATCACTTGAGAGACAGGCTTGCCTTGAACAGGGTGCAGATGAACTATAAATCAATTCAAATGGAACAGAGGAAAAGTGAAATTAATACAGCTGTGCTTGGGGCATTTGTGATTGTCAGCAAAGGTGCATTCACTTATGTCACAGGAGGGTAATCTGGTTCATGCTGATTTATGTATTGTCTGGGGAAATCTATAGTGTAGATTTTGATTGACTTACACTGAATGTACAATATTCAAAACAGGCTTTAAGCGAAATCTTCCATTTTGAAGCAGGAGCAATGATAAAGCTTTTTGTTCATGGCTTGTCTTCAGTATTTGTGTGGAGGAGCATGCCCTAGGAAAAGTGAACTGCAGGGTTGTGTGTACCTCATTTTTGGAATAGTTCCAGGTTAGATTTTTGATTTTGAGGCCAAACTTTGTGCTTCTCCAAAGCAGTGTGGTCACTGGATCAGCTGCTGCCTTGCTGCAGCTGTCCTGGGCTATAATGAGTGTGGAGCATTTACCCTGTTTGAGGTCTTAGAGCTGAATGCAGATAAACAACCACCAACAGCAGCTGATACACACAGGTTTGTAAGTAATGGCTGGATGTTGTTTTGAAAGAGGTACTATTGTTCACATCAATTTGAGAGTCATAAAATAATTTGGAAGCGAGGTAGCAGCAGCTGCAATAATTTTACTCCCCTATGCTGTCCACGTTAGAGGAGATGATGATTTGTCTTTCCAACTTCAGGAACTGTTAACACCCCTAGCTGTTGTAGGCCAGGCTGAGATTGGGTAGTTAATCCCCCAAAAAATCTCATTGTTGTTGAAATTGTTTCTTGATCACCAGTGACTGTTAGTAGATTTCAGGTTTCTGCCTATAGAAAAAATTATATGTAACCTACTTTATCTGTAACAAGTACAATGTACTGAAGTATAATAAAATGCATCTAAATTGTATAAGACCCCCAATATCAAAAGAAAAATAAAAAATAAGAAAAAAAGTGTGACTTACTGAAAGGAAAAAAGGAGCTATGTGATACAGAAAAGAAGAAGATATGTGGACCCAGCAGCAGTCATGTTTTTGAAGAAACTTTGTGAAACTGAACAAGAAAAAATCCTTAAAAATATGGGAGCTACAGTGAAGGAAACATTCCATCTGGCTCTGGTGGGAGGTGACTGATAATAGGACAGAGCTGAGACTCGGGATGGTATCTTTGTGATAAACTGAAAATCTGTGCGTTCTCTTTTTTCTGGTATAGCCTGACTATGGTAGAAGCATGGTTATGTTTTATAGGAAAGGAAAATTAAGGGTTAAAAGGAAATGTTATAGTGTAATCTGATGGCTGTCTAGGTAAGCAGAAAAACTGGCAGTTGCACAGAGAAAGAATTTTGATGCAAAATGGAATTGTTTGCGTGTATATGTTAAAATTATGATTAATGAGTGGTGATGAGTAGACTTCCTGGTAGTAAATGTGACATTCTGAACATGCAGCTTGTTTGAATTGCCATGGTTTAATGGAAATGTGGAAAATTTTGCCATGGAAATGCCTAATATAACTGTAAAGGAAGTGTTACATTAATAATGGGCATTTGTTCTCTTTATTTTCAATCTATTTCTTATCTTTTTGATTCGTATGCTTTTCAACTTAGATATAATAATGTTTATTTTGCTTTTTCTGTTCCAGCGAATTCGAGATCTAGAAGATAAAATAGAACTTCAAAAGAGGCAACTCAAAGAAATTGAGGAAAAGGTAAATTTATGTCTGGGCAGTACCAATGGATTTATTTTTCCATAGAAAATTGTTTTTCTCTGTTGCACTGATGTTAATAGTACTTAACCTAATATCACAAAATCTATTTTAAGACAAGATAAAATTCGAGTTTGAGTCATTGCAGCATGAAATGCAGCTCTGTCCCTAATCTGCTCAAAATTATTTCCTCTACAGGATTTCTGTCAATTACAGGAAGGAATCAAGGAGTCTGGGAGACTCTAGACTACTAGAAGGAGGATTTGCTGTGGTTTAGATCAAAAAAGAGAAAAGATTTGACTCTGAAAAAATTGGTTAGCTCAGCCCTATTCTTTGGATAGCATAGCTTTGCAAAACTTTCAAGTACAGAAAAATAAAATTAGGGAAGTGCCTGCAAAACACTACAATTAAGGAGTATTTCTTGATTTAATATAGAAAAAGTTAATATAATGGATTTGATTTTAAGAAGAAGCTCTGATCAAGGCTTCAGAGAGCTAATTTGTGTCACTGTGGTTCCCAAGCAAGGGATGTCACAAGGCTCATGGACTGTGGGCTCAGGTTTTTCCCAGGTCTGTGGAATTCAGGCTGCTCTGCAGAGCATGGACTGACAGTGGGCCTTTCTCTAGACAGAGTGTTTTAGTCATGACACCTTTGCTGAACCAGTGCCTAGATGCCAACAAGAGTCACGTCCCAGGTTCATTTTCTTCAGCATTTATGGGCATGTAATCCTACATAAACCTACTGCTGGGCTGAATGGAGATGTTAGTGGAGTTCTCAGTCACTGTTTCTTTCTCTTACGATGAGAATGGGTAAAAGGGTAAAAGGAAGGCTTTTTTAGGACTCTGGAGGGAGTTGAAAGGGGTCAGTGGGGTTGGCAGAACAGAGGGAGGATTCAGGGAGCAGCTCACTGGGTGCGGAAAATTTCTTCTCACCCTTCTCTTATCTCAGCATCCCTGAATCTGCTTTCAGGATGTGGCAGTCCTCCCAGCTGCACTTCCAGCAACAATTCCAATTCCCTCAGAATCTTCCTTGGCCCCTTCTGCTCCCACAGTAGTTGTCTCCCCTCTGCTGTACCTTGTCCTGCACTTTTCAGAGCGTGATACCCGTCTGGGTTTGTGGAGGAGCAGGAGAGGAGCCTGCAGAAGCTGGGCTGTTGCTGCTGTTGCTGATTATCACTTTACTCACCCTGCAGAGGCGTGGCTGGGGCTGGTCTGTCTGCATCCCTTGGGAGGGCAGTGCTCCATGTTGGCACTGGCAGAAGAACACAGGCACTACTCACCCTAAAAGGGCTCTTTTCACCCTGAAAAGGGCCCTTTTGCTGCCTTTGCCCTCTTCTGCCCCAGACTATATATATACCTGAAGCTGCTCCTACCTAGCAGCCAGTGATGTCTAGCATGCACACTTAACTCCTCAAAGCAGAGAAATGTTGAGGGATAGACAATATTTTTACATAATAATTATTTCAAATATTACTGTTTATCCACCTATTCTAAAAAAATAAACATCTCTAGATGTTGCTATTGCCAAAATGTAAGCCTTTAAGGCATTTCCATTACAGTTTACAGAGCAGGTATAGCCAGACAACACAGACTGATAATTTTGGAAATGGAAAATAGCGTTATCTCTGCTGGTTCATCAGCCGGATGGATGTGGAAAAGCACTGGAAAAGAAAGAGCCTAATCACAAGCTTAGCAGAAAGCTGGTAATGAGTTAAAATGATTAACATCCTCTTTGCTTTAATGTTAATTAGCAAGAGACCTCAAAAAAGCTTCATCCCTTCCTATTGACCTTCAGCTTCTGGATGGGTGGAGGGCTTCCTTCTATCCCAATTACATTTGAATTTTTTTTTTTGACCTGGGATTAAATCCTATTCTGATGGCCCAAAGGAAGATTGTGTTGTTAGGGAAGCAATGAATGATATAATAATAATTTAACCTCATTGTTCTTCTAAAGGTTTAATGTGTTAAAGGGTGCAGATTGACACCTACGTGATCCTGAGTGCAATAATTTCATGTGGAGAGGAATCTTATGCTTTTGAAGGAACAGCAGCATTTGTAGCTGAGCCTGTTGCTGGTGGTAGCTAAGGGCAGTGCACCACTTAGAGTTACTGTGTCATGAGTATGACTTTTCATTTTCCTTTAGGACTGGATTCAATTTTTAAGCTTTGTGTAAAATTCTATCAAATAAGAACATAAATATTACAGTATTTCTGCCCTATAGATTCTTGGGCAAACTGTCCTGTTTCTAGAGGCTACACAGAAGAATGATATAAAATCTCAGTTTTAATATGTGAGTTGATATATTAGGAACAAATGCTGCTTAAACATGCTGTGCTCTTCTTACAGCTGATTCTCTGCTATTTCAGTTGCATTTAGGTTGTGCCCTTGGCTTGGTAGGCCTTGATTCAGGAAAGCTTTAGTGTGTGTAATTATAAGTACTTCTTTAAGTAAATCACAGAATTCACAGGCCTAATATATATGAATCCACAAATTTTGGCATTGTAAAACTCCTCTCAAATATCTTTTACTGCTTTTTAGAATAAGATTGGTATACTGTGTCTTTCTTTCAGATCAACTCAATTATTAATGATGTAAGACTAACTGCTGTAATGTCACTGGATTTCATATGACATATCTTACATCTTCTTTCTTTTCTTTTTTCCTCATTTTCTTTTGATCTTATGTTATAGTTTTTGTTCCTTTTTTTGTTTTTTTCACTAGCATTCATTCTGTGGCCTTGATGACACAACTGAGCCGAGACGTGTGGTTAGTATTCTTTATATTTCTTTGTGCTCAGTTTTTGACTCCTAGATTTTGCCTTGTTTTGGGGATTGTTTGTAAGACCCTGACACCATGAGGAAGGGCATACTGGTTTTACCTGCACAGAGAGGAAGAGACATCTATAAATCCAACTTGGATACTTTCCTTCCTAGATTTCTGCAGGAAGCGATTGGGTTTTCAATGAGAAATAATTTTGTAGTCAAAGAAATTGACTGCCGTAACTGCAGTGAGTGCTTTCCATTCTTGCAGAGCAGGTACATTTTGTCTGAAAGTCCAGTTATTGTTGGAGGTTCCTGCCTTCTGTCATGCTGGATGGAGAGGAGGCAAAGAATCAGTTGGCTTAAGTTTTGCTTTCTAAGAAGCCTTGTGAGCATAACCACCCAAGCAAAATAAAGAGTTGATTTCACTTCCTCCAGATCCTTGAGGCCATGAAATAACTCAGGAAATAATAAAAAATTTTCCCTTTTATGAGGCGATTTGAAGGTTGCAATGTCAATGACACAACATGGAAAGGGTGAGGATAAAAAACCTCTGTGCCTCTCCTTGAGGCATTTCCATCACTCACTGTCCTTTCACAGTGTCCTGACCCTTTCAGCTCAGTGCTAAAGGCAGTGAATTTCTTCAGCTGTGGCAGGAGCCACAGTGCCACTGCTCGCCTTTCACAGACAACAAGAGGGAAATGCAATTTAGAAAATCAGTCCCTGGAGCAATGCAAGTTCCACACTGCCTTTCAGGAAGGATGCTAACTCAGCAGCCTCACTGTTTGAGGATTAACCTATGCTTTAAAGCTACTGAATATTATACAGGATTTGTATTGTTACTGTTGTTGGGTTTTTGTTTGGTTTTAACTCAATAATACACAATGCTTTTTACCTTTACAAAATTTATAAATTTTTTCTTCTTTGTAATCTGAATTATCTTCAAGGAATCTTCTCATAGTGGGAGTTCAGTCAACATCTTTGAAACTGCTATCAGTACTGTATGATGAAAAAGAATAATGAGAATATTATGAGCATGAAACATTTATAGCATGAAACAGTATTTTCTACTGCCCAGATCTGAAATACTTTTGAGAATTCAGACCTGTGTTATTATGGGCACTTTCTAGGGTTTATTCTGGTCAAATATGTTCAGTTATCATCTTTCTGTTGATGCTCTTTGGAACTTGCTCTGGGGTCTCACTACAAGCACTGCTGCATATGCTTTTTATTTTTAAATAACATGGTAACAGTTGCAGATGGGTAGAATTTAATTCTTAGGTATTATTTTTTTCTTAAAAGTGCAGGAGCTTTCTTCTGATTGTTAGAAGTTGAAAAGTAGTTGAAATTGAACAAACTTTTTCATTATTTTCTGAAATTTTTGTTTCTTTTATAAAAATTTGAGCATATGCTTATAGAAAGGTGTTTGAAGAAAGGTGGAGCCTTGTAGTAAACTATTCACCTTACTACATTTTGAAGTGAATTTTTGGAAGAGATCAGATAAGGCAGATGTTTGAAAGACTAATGTTAAAAGAGTCACCAAACTATTGTCTTTGGAGTTTCCTCCAGGTGTTTTATACCAGTCCCAGTTAGAAGTGCTAACATCTGGATGAATATATTTGTTTTTAAATATGTTGAAAAATATACTGGCCAAGTCTAGAGATACTTTATAAACATTCAATAAACAGTGAAATCACCAGCATTTTTAAAATTCCATTTATAATATTTTGACATACTATGCATTCAAGGGATCTATAGATTTCCCTGAAGATATTACCTGATAGTATTCTATGTTCCTCTTGGATTAAAAGAGAAAAAAAAATGCAAAAGAAATTGCAAATGTTAGTAGTCTTCAAAAAATGCATTGTGCTGATATAATGTGCTACTCTTCCTGTTAACAGTAAGTAGTTAAGTAATTAAATTCAAGCTTGGTGACAAGCCTTTTGAGGAGATAACACAGGGGTAATGACTGTGTAGCCACATAACTACTCAGCTTTTGACATTTCTAGGAGTGCACATCACATTGTGGTGCTGGTGTGAAGGGCAATGTTCTTTAATTCATATTGCCAGAGGTGAATCTGTCTCTGATTAATCTAACACAGAAAAGCTAATTTTAAGATACTTAATTATAGCTGGCTTTTCAACACTGTTAAGTATTTCAAGGCAAACCAGGTGATTTACTGATAGTAATTTTGATTCTAGTTATTCTGAAGGTAATATAAAACATTCAGAAAGGTATTGTGCTGCCTGTGAATTTAGGGTTTGATACCAACATGTATTTCTAAAGTAATGTTTTTTATCTAAAGCTCAGCAGATCTCTTCTTTTCTTTGTTGTTTTTGTTTTCTGTCTTGGTTTCGTTTTGTTTACAGGCTATTAAAAGAACCTATGGAGTGAAAAGCTGAGTCCACATGCAAAAATACAGAAAATATTTATTAAGCAGTTTTAAATTGGTGCATTTTTTTCATAAAGCAGTGTGCATAATCCTTGAAGCTGCAAAGTATTTGAACTTAAAATTAGAGACTTTTTTTAAAGATGTAGCTTCAAGCTGGAATTATTTCACAATCAAATAAGGACCAGCACATCATAAACACTGAAAAAAAATTTAAACAGAACTTACACTCTCCCACCAACCAAACAGCAGAAAAAATACAAGTGCAATTACTGGCTGCTATGTGAACTATTATCTACCAAATGTTTTCTTACAGTACTGAGATTTTTGTCTCCATACTGCATGCTTTCAACAAATGTGGTTTGCATTTCCCAAGGAACCCCAGAAACACAGGATCTCCTTTTTAATATCTATATTAAAAAAGCTAAGTGTTTGACATTAAGTTGTCTATAGTAAATAGCTGAAAGGAAGCAAACTGTTCAAAGTTGGAAACAAAAAAGAAGATTTACAACCCTGCAGTGGTCAAATTCATATTAAATTCCTAAACTGGAAATCCTCAGGTGCAGAAAGGAAGGGTTTTGGAGAAAGGCAAGGTGGTAGATTGAAGCATGAAAACTTTAAAGTGGGTGAGAACTGTGTGGGAAATATGATTCTTTGAATGTTTCTTGAAAAGTAAGGCAATGTCTTGTAAAGACAGCATTGGGAAACGGACTGATTCCGTGGCAGCCTGAGAGCTCAGGGAAAGAGAATGAATGATGTGCTGTGCTCAGTTATCTCTTCGAGAAGAAAGAAGGACTTGGAGAAATGGGCATGTAGATAAACATGATAAGCAGAGAAATAGTTGAACATGAATATTTGGAAATATGGCATCCTCTCAGGTGAAATAAAAAAACATCTTCATTAGTAAAAATGGCACAACCTCAACCAGCAGAGGTAGATAAACAGTCATTGACCACCTGGACTACAAGAAAAATTTGGGGTGAAGCACACACTGAGAAAATGGAAGTTGCAAAGACCTTTTTAAGAGAATCGTTAGAAAATGAAAAAAAATATTACTGTTTCAAAGAGGGAAAAGCAAATCAATACTTAAGAACTGGAAAGGCAATATGAAGAAATAGATAATTTTAATTATTTCTGAAATGTCGAGGCAAGATGAAAACGTTAAGAGCACAATGTTAGAAGATAACTTTCTCCTCCCTCACATTTTCTTGAAAATCATATTTGTGTAGAAAGCCACAGAGAAACAAGCCTGCTCCCATGGACACACTGAACTCCAACATGAAGTAGCTGGTTACTATAATATATCACATGAAGTACCAATTATGATTAACAAAAACAACATAAGGCAATGAACAACTAAGGAAGGACAGAGGAAGCTGTTGAAGGTGCTGGAATCAGCCTCAGAAGCAGCCTGTTTTCTCAGATAATTATCAGGCTCTGAAGAAAAGTACCCTGCACAAAGAATCACTGGACAAGAGCATTTACCTGCAGAAGGAGCTGAGACACTCCTTAATTCAGATTAATTCAGTCACACACAGCAAACTGTGGCTGATGTCAGGGTTGGAATAACCCTGGTAGAAAGCACAATTTACTTTGGAAACAAGGATCATGCAGAAGTCTGGAATCTCAATCCCCAACAGAATATGTTGCTCACAATATACTGTTGAAAAGGAGCAAGTATTTAGAGAATGTGTTTTCAAATAGAAATTTTTCATGTTTTAGTTAAGGCTTTTAGAAGTGATGACAGAATGTAGAAAAGTAAGGCCTTCACTGCAAGAGAGAGTCCTGGCATCACTCAGAAGCAAAGGACCACAACAGAAGGTAAACAGAGCTTGAGATAATCAAACCTGGTGCCAGTGAAGGAACGAGGATTCACTTGGCAAAGAAACACTTCTCATAGACACAGATTTGCTCATCACTGTTTTGAATATGGAGCTACAAGCACAAACACGCCATGGTCAGAGCACGTGGCTGCCACGATAAGGGCACTGCACGGACAGGAGAGGGTCTTCTTACAAAGCAGAGAAGGTATGAACAGTTTCATCTCCTGATTTTTTTATGTGTTTTGTAATTACATTGTAATTTACGTGTGACAGTTTTCTCAAGAAAACTGGCTGATTGGGCTGATATTTTCCATTACATTTATGATGTTTTTTTCTGCACTGAGCTAGCAGGATTTGTACTTTTGGTAAACGGATCATTGCAATCTCACTATCTGTTGTATATTGGTATTTACTGTAGAGCTGGGAGTGGGTGCTATGTGTTAACACGGTGTTCAGGCTTTGGGAAAGGCTGTCCAGGGAGCTGATAGAATCACCATCCCTGGAAATGTTCAAAGGTGTGGATGTGGCACTTGGAGGACATGGTTTAATGCTGGACCTGGCAGTGTTGGATTAGTGGCTGGTTTTGGTGATCTTGGAAGTTCTTTTCCAATCTTAGTGATTCTATTATTCTGTGATTCCGTCCATACAAGATAGACTTAGTCACAGAATTCAGGCCTGATTTTCCCTTTTTGTGACACAGCTTTCAAATAATCTGTCCCAGCTATATAAGTGGAGAAGGCAACTGTAAGTTTCTTATTTCTTGTTTTAGTTGTAATAGCTTTCCTGGTTTCATACTGCAGTTGCAAATGATATTAATTTGGCTTCCACTGTAAATTATTAATGAGAAAAGTAACAATGTTCACTGTTATTATATATGCATTTTGCAGTGCTGTTCAGGGATAGCCATTGTCACAGAACAGGGTACCTATTCCATTTACAAATAAGAAGTAAAAACAAAATACTAATGTCTCAAGGAACTCTAAATTGAAGATGATGTTCCATTTGGGAAATTATACCATCCAGGGGAGAGCCATAATTATGTTAACATGTCTCAGGGATGCATGCTCTCTGAGAGGAGACTGGGATTGGTATCACAGAGGTGTGAGCTTTGTTGTCCACATGGGTTTATTCTTTGATGTCTGTCTGCTCTTGAAGCTTTTAAGTATCGTGGCTTCTTAAGGGGCTGAGGAGTGCCTGAATCATTTTAGTTCTAGGTGCTTGTGTGGCTGACATAAGTGAGTTGTGTTGCCAGTGAGTTGATAAAATTGACCAAAATTGTAGCACTTAGTGTAATTTATTGAACTTGTGAATAGCACATAGCAAAACATCAAACCATGAGGTGATAAGGTGGTTTTTTTTTTATTATTTTGAACTGATTTTGTGCCATTTTCTACTCATCAGTATCAAAAAAGTTACTTTTATCTTCTTCTTTGCACTGTAGATGCAGCATTTGTCTACCAAAAAAAAAAAAAAAAAAAAATTGCATTATTTCGTTGGTAATAAATCCAAACTCTGGTTGAATTCCAGTTACAGATACAATTCCAAATCAATACAAATGTAGCAAAATAATTTCACAGGTGCCAGCGGGTTGAGGTTTAACCCAGCTGAGAGCCAGCACCACCCAGCCTCTCCCTCACTCCCCCCACACCCTCCCTGCACCCCTGGGGAGGAGAATCAGAAAGAAAAGGTAAATCTCTTGGGTTGAGAAGAAGTTTAATAATTGAGACAAAATATTACTACAATAATATGCTGATGCTAATAATTGTAATTATAAAGGGGGAGAGAGAATTTAACAGGACTCAAGACAAGCAAGTGTGCTTTACACTACAGTTTCCTACCACCTGCTGACCAGTGGCCAGCCAGTTCCTGAACAGCAATCAGTCCCTTTCTGGGTAATTCCCTTCAGATAATATAGTGAGCATGAAGCTCTGTGGTGTGGAATATCCCTCTGGACAGTTTGGATCAGCCATCCCAGCTGTGCTCCCTCCCAGCTCCTTGTGCAGCTCCTCACTGGCAGACACGAGCCACTGAAGAGTCCCTGATGTAGGGTGAGCACTACTGAGCAGCCAGAACATCAGAGTGTTATCAACATTATTCCCATCCCAAATCCAAAACACAGTGCTGTGCCAGCTTCTAAGGAGAAAATTATCTCTGACCCAGCAGAAACCAGGGCACAGTTATAAGACTATACTTACTGAAGTGAATTTCTGAAGATTTTTTAGATCTATGATTAAAAGAGGCAGAAGAACCAACCTTAGCTTGCCTTGTCAAGCCCAAATTTGAAAATTTCTTTCAGCTATGTCAGGAGTGAAGTAGATACAAATAAAATACTGCATGCAGAATTCCAAAATACCAATTAAATGTTTTCTCTGAAATAGTCATAGAATGCCTTTTAATAGGAAATATCATTTTTTAGTCTTCTTTATTGAAACAATAATAATGTAATATATTTATCCAAACACACTCAGTTTTATGAACTCTCATGTTTAGTAGAAAATTATTCTCTTTTCAAAACTTTGATGGCAAATTAATTTATTAATTAGTCTAACTAAATCTTTTATGGGGATCTCATGTTGTGAACAGCAACTCCCTTCATACATGTTAATGGGGCTAATGAAATGAGACTTTCTCATAAATAATAAATGTGTTCAGAATCAAGAAGGACTGTTCATTTGATCATCAGAGGCTTAGACTCTGTTACTGCATGCTTAGACTGTAGTACATTGAGAACCTAATTTGTGCTCTTTTTCATCATGGATCCTTCATCTGGAACAGAACAAGAATTTTGTTACTGTATTAGAATGCCTAACAATGAAGGATTTGCTATCCTGAATTTCAGTGTTAAAATTGGTACTTCCTGGGTTTTCCAGGAATTAGAAGATGCAGGCACACCTGATGAAAAAGTAAACACTGCTGGAGAAGAGAATTTGAATCTCAGAATAAAAGAGCTGGAAAAGTCAGAGCAAAAACTGAAAGGTGTTCTAGAGGACTACGTGAAGTCAGATTCCATCCTAAGAAATAGGTAAATGTAAGGGGCGTTTGCATTAAAATGTATTGTTATGTGATAAATGTACTCTTCACTTTGCCCTGTGTACTGCTTGTCAAATGATACATGTAGAACCAGCAAAAAGAAGGACTTCCTGTGTTTTTAGAGTGATAGAGAAGATTCAGATGTATTTTGTATAGCTGTCAGAATAGCAATGCAATAATCACTTTTATAAGAATTATTATTTAAGATCTACAGCATGGTCTAACATATTGTTGCAAATAACCAGGCAGCTTTCTCGGGATGTTTCATTATTAAATATTCATATTATGCAAATTCCATTTGTAAAGTGTATTCCTTTCCTTTTAAATTAAGAGTTAATTTGGAATTTCTTGTTGTAAAAAAAGTTATTTTTTTCAGAAAGCTTCTTCTAATTTGGTGTGTTAATGCTAATCATTACACCAGATGAAGCTGCCATTAAGCATTAATTATACATTTAATTAGAATAATAAGGTTTTGATAGTCAGCAAAAGCACTGTTCTAAAGAATGTAAAAGTTAAAAAGAATAGGAAATATAAATGGCATTAAAACACCTATTTGTATGATTTTTAATTGCTTTGAATTCATCAACGAATTTTGTCAGAAATATTTTAATAATGAACTCTTTTCAAAATAATAATTAATCATTTTTTAAAGATTCTCATATCACACTTCATAATTTTATACTACCATTTGACTAGCAACAGGCAAAGCAAACCTGTATTTTGTTATGATACATCTTTGAAGACAAAAGTCAATACAATTATGCTCTGTAGGTTTTAGTGCCCACTGAAGGCATGTTGCAAGTAAGATATTTTCACTTCAGCCCCTAAAACATAGGTAGGTTTTTTGTAGGTTCCCCGTAATGTTAATTTTGATGGGAAGCATTTACTGTCATAAAAATTGAGTTCACTGACTGTGAACCTGCCATAATCCTATGATCAGGTACATGCAGAGACTGAAGTGTTGTGGTTGTCTTTATGGTAAGTTGTTACTTTACATAGCATGCTAAACTCCATTGAGCAAAAATCTTGTACACGTGTTTGCTTATGGTATTCTTATTAAATCAGCAGAAAGGTGTTCTCTTTAAAAATTTCAACACTCTCCAGCTTAATGTGCAAACCCCAGTTGACTTGTTAAGAGTTAAGTGTTTGTTATATTAGTGATCAAAAATTTGTTACTATTTTATTTTTGGGAGACAAATACAAAAATAGAGATAACTTGATGCATTGGTTGTGACTGCTTATCCATCTGAAACTGTGCTGTGGTATTTACTTAGCAAAAATGTTCATTCTTGCTATCACAGGATGAAAGAGCTGGAGCTGTCACAGAAAACACTTCTTGTGACGATTGATCAACTTTATGTGAAGCTGGACCAGGTAGAAAATGTCAATCTGCACATTAAAGGGAAACTGCAAAGCATTCAGGAGGACCTGATCCATTTGGTGAGGGGATATTGTTGCAAATGGCCTAGTTTATTTCCTCTTTGTGATAGTAATTTA